ACATTCGCTTTGATGAGATGATCAAAGCGTTTGGGTTTACACAGACTTATGGAGAAGCCTGCGTTTACAAGAAAGTGGGTGGGTGCTCTATAGCATTTCTCATATTATATGTAGATGACATACTTTTGATGGGAAATGATATAGAACTCTTGGACAGCATTAAGGCCTACTTGAATAAGAGTTTTTCAATGAAGGACCTTGGAGAAGCTGCTTATATATTAGGCATCAAGATCTATAGAGACAGATCATGACGCCTCATAGGTCTTTCACAAAGCACATACCTTGATAAGATATTGAAGAAGTTCAATATGGATCAGTCTAAGAAGGGGTTCTTGCCTGTGTTGCAAGGTGTGAAATTGAGCTCAGCTCAATGTCCGACCACGGCAGAAGATATAGAAGAGATGAGTGTCATCCCCTATGCCTCAGCCATAGGTTCTATTATGTATGCCATGCTGTGTACCAGACCTGATGTAAACCTAGCCGTGAGTTTGGTAGGAAGGTACCAAAGTAATCCCGGCAAGGAACACTGAACAGCGGTCAAGAATATCCTGAAGTACCTGAAAAGGACTAAGGAAATGTTTCTCGTCTATGTAGGTGACGAAGAGCTCGTCGTAAAGGGTTACGTCGACGCTAGCTTTGACACAGATCTGGATGACTCTAAGTCACAAATCGGATACGTGTATATTTTGAATGGTGGGGCAGTAAGCTAGTGCAGTTGCAAGAAGAGCATGGTGGCGGGATCTACATGTGAAGCGGAGTACATGGCAGCCTCGGAGGCAGCACATGAAGCAATTTGGGTGAAGGAGTTCATCACCGACCTAGGAGTCATACCCAATGCGTCGGGGCCGATCAAGCTCTTCTGTGACAACACTGGAGCTATTGCTCTTGCCAAGGAGCCCAGGTTTCACAAGAAGACAAGGCACATCAAGCGTCGCTTCAACTCCATTCGTGAAAATGTTCAAGATGGAGACATAGATATTTGTAAAGTACATACGGACCTGAATGTAGCAGATCCGTTGACTAAACCTCTCCCTAGAGCAAAACATGATCAACACCAGAATTCCATGGGTGTTCGATTCATCACAATGTAACTAGATTATTGACTCTAGTGCAAGTGGGAGACTGTTGGAAATATGCCCTAGAGGCAATAATAAAAGCATTATTATTATATTTCCTTGTTCATGATAATTGTCTTTATTCATGCTATAATTGTGTTATCCGGAAATCGTAATACATGTGTGAATAATAGACACCAACATGTCCCTAGTAAGCCTCTAGTTGACTAGCTCGTTGATTAACAGATAGTCATGGTTTCCTGACTATGGACATTGGATGTCATTGATAACGAGATCACATCATTAGGAGACTGATGTGATGGACAAGACCCAATCCTAAACATAGCATAAAATCGTATAGTTCGTTTGCTAGAGTTTTCCAATGTCAAGTATCTTTTCCTTAGACCATGAGATCGTGTAACTCCCGGATACCGCAGGAGTGCTTTGGGTGTACCAAACGTCACAACGTAACTGGGTGACTATAAAGGTATACTACGGGTATCTCCGAAAGTGTCTGTTGGGTTGACACGGGTCAAGACTGGGATTTGTCACTCCGTATGACGGAGAGGTATCACTGGGCCCACTCGGTAATGCATCATCATAATGAGCTCAAAGTGACCAAGTGTCTGGTCACGGGATCATGCATTACGGTACGAGTAAAGTGACTTGCCAGTAACGAGATTGAACGAGGTATTGGGATACCGACGATCGAATCTCGGGCAAGTAACATACCGATTGACGAAGGGAATTGTATACGGGGTTGCTTGAATCCTCGACATCGTGGTTCATCCGATGAGATCATCGAGGAGCATGTGGGAGCCAACATGGGTATCCAGATCCCGCTGTTGGTTATTGACCGGAGAGCAATCTCGGTCATGTCTACATGTCTCCCGAACCCGTAGGGTCTACACACTTAAGGTCCGGTGACGCTAGGGTTGTAGGGATATGTATATGCAGTAACCCGAATGTTGTTCGGAGTCCCGGATGAGATCCCGGACGTCACGAGGAGTTCCGGAATGGTCCGGAGGTAAAGAATTATATATAGGAAGTGCTATTTCGGCCATCGGGACAAGTTTCGGGGTCACCGGTATTGTACCGGGACCACCGGAAGGGTCCCGGGGGTCCACCGGGTGGGGCCACCTATCCCGGGGGGGCACTTGGGCTGTAGGGGTGTGCGCCTTGGCCTGCATGGGCCAAGGGCACCAGCCCCAAGAGGCCCATGCGCCTAGGGATAAGGAAGGGAAGAGTCCCAAAGGTGGAAGGCACCTCCGAGGTGCCTTGGGGAGGAGGGACTCCTCCCTTGGCCGCCGCCCCCCCTAGGAGATTGCATCTCCTAGGGACGGCGCCTCCCCTAGGCTCCCTATATATAGTGGGGGAAGGAGGGCCTCTCACCCCACGCCTTTGGTGCCTCCCTCTCCCTCTCCAACACATCCTCCTCCTCCATAGTGCTTGGAGAAGCCCTGCCGGAGTACTGCAGCTCCATCACCACCACGCCGTCATGCTGTTGCTGGAGCCATCTTCCTCAACCTCTCCTTCCCCCTTGCTGGATCAAGAAGGAGGAGACGTCACGCTGACCGTACGTGTGTTGAACGCGGAGGTGCCGTCCGTTCGGCGCTAGGATCTCCGGTGATTTGGATCACGTCGAGTATGACTTCCTCATCCCCGTTCTTTGAACGCTTCCGCGCGTGATCTACAAAGGTATGTAGATGCAATCCAATCAATCGTTGCTAGATGAACTCATAGATGGATCTTGGTGAAACCGTAGGAAAATTTTTGTTTTCTGCAACGTTCCCCAACATATCATAGGAGAGAGCAATGATAGGGGAACTGTAATAATACCTATTGGGGATATCATACGCTCAGAAGATGAAATCGAGGGGGAGGAAACTACCAATACAAATGTAGAAGGTGATAATACATTAATATCTGAAGCGTATGAAAATCTTTCAGGTCAAGAGGAGATGGAAACAAAAGATGGGGAAGGTGTACCTCAGGAAGTTGATGAAGAAGTTGTGAATCAATCACAAGTACTAGAGGAGGCACCAACAAGTGAAGAAATGGCCCATGATGAGGGTGATGTTGAAGGTACTGAAACCCATATACCATCCTCTAGTACTCAAATAAATGATGAGCCAATTGCCTTATGAAAGAAAAAAAGAAAAGTAGATGTACCCGCGCGTCTGAAGGATTGTGTTGGATATAAACATGATCTTGCAAAATTTGTTTCGTATGACAGGTGTACTTCCTCTTTTAGGAGCTTTATTGCATCCTTGGATTCCATATCAGTACCTAAAGATTGGAAGGATGCAGTGAATGATCCTAAATGGAAAGCAGCAATGTTGGAGGAAATGTATGCTCTAGAAAAGAATAATACATGGCAATTGGTAGAATGGCCGAAGGGCAAGGAACCAGTCGGATGCAAATGGGTTTATACCATTAAGTGTAACCCTGAAGGTAAAATAGAAAGGTATAAAGCTCGGTTGGTGGCCAAAGGCTGCACACAGACTCGTGGTGTTGATTATGAGGAAACATTTGCCCCTGTAGCAAAAATGAATACAGTAAGAACTTTGATATCTTGTGCAGCTAATCTTGGATGGAATTTGTTTCAGATGGATGTAAAAAATGCATTCTTACATGGAGACCTTCAGGAGGAAATTTATATGCATATACCACCAGGTTTCAACACGGTACAAACTGAAGGAAAGGTCTTGAAACTCCGTCGTTCACTGTATGGCCTAAAACAATCTCCTCGTGCGTGGTTCGGTCGGTTTAGAAAAGCTATGCTGAAATTGGGTTTCAGCCAGAGCAATGCCGACCATACTTTATTTTATAAAATATGTGGTGGAAAATTGACGATATTAATTGTCTATGTTGATGATATTGTTATTACAGGAGATGATGATCAAGGTATTGAAAGAGTGAAGCAACATTTGAGGAACGAGTTCGAAGTCAAGGATCTAGGAGAAATGAGGTACTTTCTTGGAATTGAAGTCTCACGAAGCTCAAGAGGTATCTATCTATCTCAAAGAAAATATGTGCTAGATCTGTTGTCAGAAACTGGTATGTCTGGGTGTCGTCCAGCATTAACACCCATTGAACAAAACCACCGATTGACTAGTGAGTTAGGGGAACCTGTTGACCGGGAACAATATCAGAGACTTGTTGGCCGTTTGATCTATTTACCGCATACTCGTCCTGATATAGCTTTTGCCGTAAGCGTGGTGAGCCAGTTTATGCATAGTCCTAAAACTCACCACATGGATGCAGTAAATCGAATCATTCGGTATTTAAAGGGGTGCCCAGGTCGAGGTTTATTGTATAAGTCAAGTGGCAATTTACAAATAGAATGTTATACTGATGCTGATTGGGCCGGTTCATTAGATGATAGAAGGTCTACGTCAGGATACTGTACGTTTGTTGGAGGAAACATAGTTACTTGGCGTAGTAAGAAACAAAATGTTGTTGCAAGGTCCACTGCAGAAGCAGATCAGAGCTATCGCTCATGGAGTATGTGAAGTCTTATGGCTAAAAATCATACTGATGGAGTTGGGTCTATTCCAGGCAAGACCATTGATGATGTATTGTGATAATAAGGCTGCGCTAGATATAGCACATAACCCGGTTCAACATTGTAGAACAAAGCACATAGAAATTGACCGACACTTTATCAAAGAGAAACTTGACCAAGGAATAATATGTATGCATTATGTGAGCTCTTCAAACCAACTAGCGGATATTTTGACCAAAGGTCTCGCTGAAAAAGTGTTTTCTAGCTTATGTAGCAAGATGGGGTTATATGATGTGTTTGCCCCATCTTGAGGGGAAGTGTTGAGTTTAGTGGTAAATTTGTATTTGGTATGATGTACTAATGTGTAAATTATAAATGTTAGGAGGACAAGAGTGTAAAGAAGGAAGATAGAGATAAGGAAAGGAATGGACGGCAGCTCATGAAGTTGCTCCAGTTCTCTGTATTGTGAACTCCTCTCTCAAATCCCCTCTCAAATCCCTAGTTGATTCACACCAAAATTCGTTTCTTTTTGAGGGATTCAACACTTCTGGGATTTGCCCACTCAAGAGGTTCAAGGAAAGGTCCAGGGAGATTAACTCAGTAAGGTTGCCAAAAGTAGCTGGAATGCTACCCTCCAAATTGTTGGCTGAAAGGGTTAGCAGACTTAGTTGTGATATGTTGCCTATTGACGATGGAATCTCCCCATGGCATCTATTCTGAGATAGAGATAGTGCTTTGAGGTTGGATAGCTTTCCTATATCTGAAGGGATGGTTCCTGTGAAAAGGTTTTCCTCAAACGCAAGCATCGTGAGTTGGTAATATCTTCCTATGCCTGTAGGTATATGCCCAGCAATTTGGTTTCCTCCTGCTTTAAGAGTTTCAAGTTTTTGCGACAGATTACTGATGCTATTTGGCAAAATCCCTGAAAGGTTATTCAGTTGAAGACCTACAGAAAATAGGCGGCTGCAGTTAGCCAAGGAGGTCAGAAAATCCCAATCCCTTGACTCTGTAGCCTGCAGCTCATTGTCCCCTACTGCAAATGCAATCAAACATCCATTTTGGCCAATATTTGATGGGATCTGTCCCCGAAATCTATTCCCATGGAGAACGATAAGTTCAAGACCAGATATGTTTGACAAGGAGGCAGGAATCTGGCCTTCAAATTTGTTGTAGAATACACTGAAAACTGTCAGGTTAGGAAGCATAGAGCCAATATCTTGTGGTAGAGAGCCTGACAGTTGGTTTGACCCAAAATTGAGGTACTCAAGTGACGACATATTAAATAACACTGGAGGGATCAAACCTTGCAGGTTATTGACTGCTAGAGTCAGATATTGAAGGTTGATAAGCTTAGACAAAGTTGGTGGAACATGGCCGCTCATCATATTCTCAGCCATGCTCAAACGTTTCAGCGCTGTCAAATTGCCAAGCCATGGTGGTATTGGCCCATGCACAGAGTTACTTGTTATACTTAACACGGTGACTGTAGCAAGATCTGCAAACGAAAGAGGAATGGTACCCGAGATATTGTTGATGCTAATACCCATAGCAAGCAGCTTTGACAGGTTTCCCATGGCGGGAGGGATGGCACCGGACAGGGAGTTCATGCTCAGGTTGAGCCTGCGGAGAGCAAAGCAGTTACCAAGGCTAGGAGGGATCTGACCTTCAAGCTTGTTGTTGGACAAATCGAGTACGCGGAGGCGGGAGAGGTTCCCAAGAAATGGTGAAACCGTCCCGGAGAGGCTAAGACCTTGTAAGCGCGGTGCCATGACACTGCCCAGGTGAGTCCTGCTGCATTTCACGCCGGTCCAGCTGCAGAAGCCATGAGTACTGCCGTTGGAGCTGCTGTTGATTGTCCATGAGGAGAGTGCGCCCAAGGGATCCTTCGTGATGAGGGATTTGAATGATAGGAGAGTGGGGAGGTCGTCGACGGTGCTGATGGAGCTGGAAGTGGAAGCGGATGGGTTCAAAAGAAGGGCAGTGGTCATGGTGAGAAGGGCAAGAAACTGGAGGAGCCATCGTCTGATCTCCATGGCCAGGCAAAGAAAATCAATACCAGCTGCTGGTTGGGGGCGCCATACAAGTAGGAACTGCAATTGTGTACCATGCACCTATGATGTACTCCCTCCGTTCCCAAATATTTGTCTTTCTAAAGATTTCAACAAATGACTACGTACGAAGTAAAATGAGTAAATCTACACTCTAAAATATGACTACATATATCCGTATGTTGTAACCATTTGAAATGTCTAGAAAGACAAGTATTTGGGAACGGAGGGAGTACTAGTCAATGAAAATCAGGAGACTATGAGAGTTGCCCACAGCAGGGAAATACTATCGCAAAAGCGAAATAAATTAGAAGACTATGAGACTCATCGACGGCAGGGAAATACTATCGCAAAATTTTACATCTCAATTTCTTATGCACTTCAAAAATATTTAAACTTTGCAACTCTATACTTGCTAAAATACAAATTATATATATAAACATTTCAAAATAAAACTGACTAAAATCGCCTAATAATATCTGCAGCGAAGCGCAGGCTTTACACTAGTCTATCATATAGTTCCAGTCTCAAACAAAAGCAATGGAACACTATCTTGTGCCGATTTTGTCAAAACAAAGAACACAAGAAAATTTTCATTATTATTTTGACCTTCCATAGATTGCCCCCAGCATATATCTGTAAACTGATAAAAAGGGTCATCATTTTCAGCATCGAATACAGTTGTCAATTTTTCTACTCTGTGGTGACTGTTAGGATTAATTAATGATTATTAATTAAGGGATAATCCCTGCTTTTACTAACAGCAGGCAGTTGCATCTGCTGCGTCGGATCCCTGTCGAATAGGCACCTCCCTGAACAGACGCCTTCCTAGTGGTGTCTCTTCCCTTTGTATAAATAGCAGATCTCATCTTAGTAATAAAGGACACACAGTTTCATTACTTCTCTCGTTCTACTCTAACAGTGACATCTTCACTCTTTTGAACCAGACATCACGGTGGAACAATAGCTGCAGAGCCAAAGGAGTAAACATACCACTACCCTTTGTATCCGGCCAACCCGAAACTCATCCACCAAGTAGAAAGCGCCGGCCAGAGCAAGTCTTGCCATGCTTCACGCATTGTACTTTTCGCACACGGGAGTTTCCACTGGAATTTAGCATGATTTCAGACAGTCAAGCATGCAGACCATGAATTTTATGATGATTTCGACAGTCTAGCATGCAGACCACGGCAGACAGGCTAGTGCCCTACCGGCAATGGAAGTTTCTTATTGGCTTCACACTGAAGTTGAATAGGGCAGTGGTCGGACAGCGTTGCAGCACCTCACCGAAGTGACCGGAGTAGTATTAACATATCTTCCCGTCTTATCAGTTAAGTATTTTGGTTTGGAAGAGAGAATCCAGATGGTCACAGTGGTCTGAATTTGTCACTGCAACTTCGATACCCAGCGTTGGCCAGTTCCTCCTGAAATACCACTCAAAACAAGGGAAACTCCAAAGGAAAAGTACAGCTAAAGCTGATTGATTAACCCTTTGCATAGTTCCTATATCAGATTTAGGAAACCCTCAAAATTCATTGCAAAGTGTACAAAGTACAAACAAGATTATCATTTTTTTAAAAGGAGGATCATCCCCGGCCTCTGCATCAGAATGATGCATGCAGCCAGAACAAGATTATCATAGATGAGATTTTTCAAGGAACTATTATTATGGATAATTCCATACATGATCCTCATCATCGTGACTCATGACTAGTGCAAAAGACGTTACATGCTGAGTGCTACATCCATACTTACACGATAAGATTGTTGGCAGTAAAAGCAACTTTCCAGCTCATCCGACATTATCCGGAAATCGTTTATAGCAGACTCCAAAATTTGTCACTGCAACGTGATCGTCTCAGTTTCAATCTCAATCTCTTCAGCATCTCACCACACAACAAATAAACCACAATCGGAAACGCAACCACATTTCGTACTGGACTCGATATGGGCAAGTTCGTCTTCTTCGCGGTGTTCCTGGCGGCTCTGGTGTCCGTCTCCGCCGCCCAAGGCGTGCTCGAGCAGAGCCTCACGGACGCGCAGTGCCGGGGCGAGGTCCGGGAGAAGCCGCTCCTCGCGTGCCGGCAGATCCTCGAGCAGCAGCTGACCGGTCGCGCCGGCGAGGGCGCCGTCGGCGTCCCGTTGTTTCAGGCGCAGTGGGGCGCCAGGGAGCGGTGCTGCCGGCAGCTCGAGAGCGTCAGCCGCGAGTGCCGCTGCGCCGCCCTCCGCGGCATGGTGCGGGACTACGAGCAGTCCATGCCGCCGCTGGGAGAAGGGCGCCACGGCTCGTCGGGGGAGCGTCAACAAGAGCAGGGATGTTCCGGCGAGTCCACGGAGCCGGAGCAGCGGCAGGAGGTACAAGGGGGGCAGTATGGCAGTGAGACAGGAGGAAGCCAGCAGCAGCAGCAGGGAGGAGGCTACCACGGGGTGACCGTCGGGCGTGGTGGCCAGCGGCAAGGACAGGTGCTCTGTCACAAGAGGCCGCAGCGGCAGCAGGGAGAAGGGTTCTCCGGCGAGGGGGCGCAGCAGAAGCCGCAGGCCGGTCGCGTGAGGTTGACGAAGGTGCGGCTGCCGACCGCGTGCCGGATCGAGCCCCAGGAGTGTAGCGTCTTCTCCGCCGACCAGTACTACTACTAGGCTAGCTGATTGGTCGATGCAATGTGTGAGCTCTGATAATAAGTGTGACCTGTAATCACAATCCTCCATGCGGAAATGACAGTGATAATGAAAAGGCAATGAATAATGAAATGAGTTTATTCGGCAGAACCGGTTAAGTATCCCGTAACTCTTTTACTTTCAAAATTTAAAACGCGTGATTCACAAAACTCCCAAAAAAGTCACTGATGTATGCATGTACACGGCACAGGAATACAAAATAAATCTTGAAAACTCTTATGGGAAAATGCTTTTATTTGCAGGTCGAGGGCACATCACGATTTGAAATTATGGATCACCACATTTCATTTTCATTTTCAGTGCATCACATTTTTATTAAGGAATCTTTTTGGAACTTAAAAATGCACGCTTTTAACTTTTCAACATAAATGCCGTGGTTTTAGTTTGAACTAAAACCACAACATTTATTTTGGATGGGAGGGCGTGTAGTTATAAGTGATAGTACAATGTCATGTTCTAAATGACTGGATGGTGACAATTTTGAAGTGAATAAGTTTTGCGTTGACACTTTCTTTTTAAGGGAAAAGCCATCATGGTGACTTTATTCATAAGGTGTAAAAGTTACATCGGTTGCTGATTTCATTAAGATAAAAAAGGGAAGATTCCTGCTAGCTGCCGCCTGTTAGTAAGAGAAACATTAGAATTACAAGCTAAAATATGCGCAATTTGATTGGCTTCCCTAGGACAATGATCGAATTTGACATTCACAAAACCTTGACATAGAAAGGAGCATTCTTCGTAAATTGCAGACGCAACACCAATTGAATTGCCTCCATTCTTCATCGTGCCGGCAACATCATGGAATTTGAATTCAATAGAATTGTGTTACACCCCACCTGTCCAGCAAGGACCAGGCTATTTCAGAGGGCGATAGCCTCTACCATGGTAGCCGAGTTGATGTAGGTTACAACGCAGTTGCTTGCCTGCCATGATTATCATGAAGCACCACACCTGAAGCGTCATTCTTCTCGAGAATGATTAAGACCGCATCAACATTAAGTTTTACATAGTTCTCCGGTGGTTTCTCCCGGCCTCCTCTGCGAGTGCCCACCATTTTGTTTTTTGCTCGCTTGTAGTTAAGACATAGCGGTTGTTAAGTTTTACATATTTTGTACTGCACTTAGTATAACTATAATTATAACTATAATTGTATTTTTAGTACTATTAAGTTATACTTAGAATTGATTGCATGCTAAACACAATTAATAAATGGCGGATTATGTGACACAATAAACAACTATTGCCAAATTTTCTGCATGCATGACTTCACTTGGATTCCTTCCTAGTTTTTTCCAGGAATTCTTTCCTAGTTGATCCGCTTCCCCATTGATGCATCCTCGCCTCAGGCAAACAATTACAATCTCTAGTGGTGATGAATGCTTTGTTGTTAATACAAGTTTCTATTAGTTATGAGTGGAAAGAGAAGTAATATACACAAGTTTTTGCACCAAACCTAGAGGCAAGGCGGCATTGGAGGATTGAGCACGTTTGTGTTTTTTCTTGTGGGGATGTCTGCATTTGTTGTTGAGGTGGATTATGACAATCTATCTTTTGCCTGTTTTATTATTTGTTCAACAGTTTATTTGCTTTCATGGCTATCTCTTTTTGTTGCTGATACAATGATTAAGGTTAACAAAGCATAATTTAGCAACCACAAGATGTGTATTAGGAGTCAGGGTCGGGCCGGCAAACTTAGGGGCCCTGTGCCAAACTCTAAAAGTGGGCCTACCATTAGAAGAACGTCCGGCAAAGAGATGCACTGCAACATATGATCAAAACATCATCCATGATCGAGTACAATTTCTTAGTCCTTTTTTCATCAAAGTTATATTTGAAATATTTTAGAAAATTTGCCTTAATTTTTTCCCATGGCGTTTCCATCAAAAAATGTCTTAAAACCTACCTATATAAAGGCAATAAGGGAAAACACTTCAGGATACCTTCCAAGCTAAGGTGTCTTTCTTTAGATGGTATGCTAAACTGTTTCTCATGACGCCTCAAATCATCATTCTGCATGAAAAGACTAAAAAGAACGCTAACTATGGAGTTAAAGGTTTACAAACGAACGAGCGGACAAGGAGTCTTATATAATTCCAGTAGCATTTATTCCATTTTGCTTCACATAGAAAATGTAGCTGAGGTGGTCGATGTTTATTTAGGCTCGCGTGAGGTCGCCGGTTCGATCTCAAAAGCAACGCCGGAATATCCCATATAGATTTATTTTTCAGGCTGAGCGGTTCTGCTCGGGTGCCTCCAGCGTATGGGCTGAAATTCAAACCCCCTGCAAATCATGGGCCCTGTGTGGTTCGAACGGGTTGCACATGCCTTGGCCCGGGCCTGCTAGGAGTGTACCTGGATTATGTTGGACTATGGGAGATGAAAGGGATGTACTCCCTCCGTTCCTAAATACTTGTCTTTCTAGGCATTTCAACAAGCTTCATTTGAAATGTCTAGAAAGACAAATATTTAGAAATGAAGGGAGTATTAATTAACAGAGATAATGAAGCTTAGTTTTATTATATGTTTTGTTAATATCGACAAGAAACAAACAGCCAACTCAAAGTTGCAGTTACACAGCCGCAATCTTCTATATCTAAATAACATATTTTCCTCAACATGCAAGCATGCCACCTCAGCATGTAGCATGCATGGAAAAATGTCCACTTCAACAAGCAACCATGCATCAAAATTTTCATTTTACTAGGCTATTTATTTGAATAATCAAACCGAATAAATCATATGTGTTTTCAGTTTTGGTTCTCACACTATTACTCCAAATATAAATGTTTCATATAACCAAATTTCATTCAAATATACTGCAAAACATTTCCACGACAACATGTGGGGTACATCTAGTTATAAGGGAGTATTAGTGATGGCCTGCAAGTGATAATGCCAAGGAGAGAAGAAGTGCACCGTCTACAAAGGCCAGGGAAAGACAATGGACATGCAGAGGGGCGGGGGCGAGGAAGAAACACATGGAGATCATAGAAGAACATAAGAGGTTAAACATAGGAGGAGGATATAATGGACAATTAAATCCACATTACTTGAACTCATTTGGGAAGTGGAAAAATCCCCTATTCTGGTGTAAATCAAACTAATTGACGCGAGTTTTCTCTCAAGATCCTATGTTAATTTTAGACATGAATGACCAAAGGTTTCAGTTAGTTGAGTCTTGTCATCGAAAGGTGTTTACATAAGCCCAAAAATTCTACCAGCTTTTGGTACGGTGCGTCATAGCACACATAAATGTTGCGAGTCATTGGATAGATATTGTGAGTCATAGCATGCATTTGTGTTGCCTAAAAATTCAACTACATGAAAAGAAACAAAACATAAATGTGATTTTGAAAGATGATTTATCAACTTTCCTTATCCATGCAAGCTACCTTCCACTGCATAACCACTTCTTTTAGATAAAAATAGCAGATCGATATACAAACGTCTACACTTCTGTAAACAGTACCCAAAAGCCAGAATTAGGATTGAACTGATTACGTGGCTTTAGCAGACCGTCCAAAAATCTGTTTTGCAAAGCTCCAATTGCTCCTTGCTTATCCAGCTTCTTTTGTGTTGGCAAATTGCTCTTTTACAACTGACTTTATTCTTCTTGTGTTTCTTAGGCTGAACTAACATCACCGTACACACAACCATTGTCATGAACCTTCACCACGTCCCTATAAAAGCCCAACCAATCCCCACAATCTCATCATCACCCACAACACCGAGCACCACAAAATAGAGATCAATTCACTGACAGTCCACTGAAATGGCTAAGCGGTTGGTCCTCTTTGCGACAGTAGTCATTGGCCTCGTGTCTCTCACCGTCGCTGAAGGTGAGGCCTCTAAGCAACTACAGTGCGAGCGCGAGCTCCAGGAGAGTTCGCTTGAGGCATGCCGGCTGGTCGTGGACCAACAGTTGGCCGGCCGGCTGCCATGGAGCACGGGGCTCCAGATGCGGTGCTGCCAGCAGCTCCGAGATATTAGTGCCAAGTGTCGCCCCGTCGCCCTCAGCCAAGTCGCAAGACAATATGGGCAAACCGCGGTGCCGCCCAAGGGCGGATCCTTCTACCATCGCGAGACCACGCAACTGCAGCAACTCCAACAAGGAATATTTGGGGGAACATCTTCACAAACAGTACAAGGGTATTACCCAAGTGTAATATCTCCTCAGCAGGGGTCATATTATCCAGGCCAAGCTTCTCCACAACAGCCAGGAAAATGGCAAGAACTAGGACAAGGGCAACAATGGTACTATCCAACTTCTCTGCAGCAGCCAGGACAAGGGCAACAAGGGTACTACCGAACTTCTCTGCAGCAGCCAGGACAAAGGCAACAAGGGTACTACCGAACTTCTCGGCAGCAGCCAGGACAAGGGCAACAGATAGGACAATGGCAACAAGGGTACTACCCAACTTCTCCACAGCACCCAGGACAAGGGCAACAACCAGGACAAGTGCAAAAAATAGGACAAGGGCAACAACCAGAAAAAGGGCAACAACTAGGACAAGAGCAACAAATAGGACAAGGGCAACAACCAGAACAAGGGCAACAACCAGGACAAGGGAAACAACCAGGACAAGGGCAACAAGGGTACTACCCAACTTCTCTGCAGCAGCCAGGACAAGGGCAACAACCAGGACAATGACAACAACCAGGACAAGGGCAACAAGGGTACTGTTGGAAATATGCCCTAGAGGCAATAATAAATTGATTATTATTATATTTCCTTGTTCATGATAATCGTTTATTATCCATGCTAGAATTGTATTGATAGGAAACTCAGATACATGTGTGGATACATAGACAACACCATGTCCCTAGTAAGCCTCTAGTTGACTAGCTCGTTAATCAATAGATGGTTACGGTTTCCTGACCATGGACATTGGATGTCATTGATAACGGGATCACATCATTAGGAGAATGATGTGATGAACAAGACCCAATCCTAAGCCTAGCACAAGATCATGTAGTTCGTATGCTAAAGCTTTTCTAATGTCAAGTATCATTTCCTTAGACCATGAGATTGTGCAACTCCCGGATACCGTAGGAGTGCTTTGGGTGTGCCAAACGTCACAACGTAACTGGGTGGCTATAAAGGTACACTACGGGTATCTCTGAAAGTGTCTGTTGGGTTGGCACGAATCGAGATTGGGATTTTGTCACTCCGTGTAAACGGAGAGGTATCTCTGGGCCCACTCGGTAGGACATCATCATAATGTGCACAATGTGATCAAGGGGTTGATCACGGGATGATGTGTTACGGAACGAGTAAAGAGACTTGCCGGTAACGAGATTGAACAAGGTATCGGTATACCGACGATCGAATCTCGGGCAAGTACCATACCGCTAGACAAAGGGAATTGTATACGGGATTGATTGAGTCCTTGACATCGTGGTTCATCCGATGAGATCATCGTGGAACATGTGGGAGCCAACATGGGTATCCAGATCCCGCTGTTGGTTATTGACCGGAGAACATCTCGGTCATGACTACATGTCTCCCGAACCCGTAGGGTCTACACACTTAAGGTTCGATGACGCTAGGGTTATAAAGGAAGCTTGTATGTGGTTACCGAATGTTGTTCGGAGTCCCGGATGAGATCCTGGACGTCCCGAGGAGTTCCAGAATGGTCCGGAGGTAAAGATTTATATATAGGAAGTCCTGTTTCGGCCATCGGGACAAGTTTCGGGGTCATCGGTATTGTACCGGGACCACCGGAAGGGTCCCGGGGGCCCACCGGGTGGGGCCACCTGCCCCGGGGGGCCACATGGGCTGT